ATATTCTTTACTAATACGCCATGATACTTAGGGGGTATAGCATATAAATTATCATCGAAAATTTATTTGAACATTTGTCGAAATGCAGACTTTACGCTCAGAAAATTCCATAACTGTACAATTATTTAATGAAGGATTCTCTCGATAGAAGTGTTTAATGAATTGAATATTATCCAGGTCGTTATACATTGAACCAATATCATAGCTTAAACAATGAGCTAATCGTTAGTACACAAAAAAGCAGACTTAGCCCTTGATAAAACTGTGCAAGTAAAAAACGAGCTGCCAGAAAAAACACACTCAAACACATTTCTAATAAGATATCTCTACTACAATTAATAAGGTCTATAATGCAAAACAAGCGAATTTTAAACATCTGATATTGAGCATTATTTTAATGAAATAAGAATCAAAATTTCAAATGTTTTTCATATAAAGGATGTATTTTTATCAAATTTGTAAATTATAAATATTATATTGATGTTACTTAACGTCTGATTAATAGACAAATAAAAAAGATTTAACCCTACATTAAATTTTTTTTTATATTTCCAGCTTTTACACTGGTGTGCAAAACTTAAGTAACAGGTGGGTTTATTGCCATAACTTCACGAAAAATCATCTGAGAGACATGAAATTCAGAAATGAGGGAGAGTATTATGTACGTAAAGGATGACAAAGGTATCGGCGCTGAAAAAGGAATACAATGCATACGGTATGCAATCAAACAAAAACAAGCTTTATTGAACGCATAGCATCGTGACTCATGATGGTCTATCCAACAGGAAGAACAACAAGCAGATGTTCCTTTATATGGTATATGCCCTCTCTTCACTGCAATGGTTGCTTTGCACCGTCTCCGCATACTCAGAACCAGCTGGTGCAACATTTCTTGCGGTAGGAGTGCCCATTCTTCAATCAGGATCTGTTTGAGTTGTTGGGTGTTCTCCGGATGATGTAAGCGTGCTACAATACATCTCCCCAAAGCATCCCACACATGTTCAATGGGATTTAAATCCGGGGAATACGCTGGCCAATCCATTCGAGTGGTATCTTCACTTTTTCCAGCAGCTCCTCAACAGCAAGAGTCCGATGTGGCCGTGCATTGTCATCCATAAAAATGAAGTCTGGGACAATGGCACCTCGGAACAGACGCACATGGGGGAGAAGTACCTCCTCACAATAGCGATCCCCGATTACAGACCCTCTATGGAAAATGTGGAGCTCAGTTCGCCCGTTCAGCATAATGCCTCCCCAGACAAGAGCTCTAGGACCACTGTAATGGTGTCTTTCCTTGATGTTACTGTTATAAAACCGTGTCCCGATCTCTCTCCAAATCAAAACGTGTTGAGAATCGCTTCTGGTACTGAAGCGACTCTCATCCGTAAAGAGGACACGACTCCATTGACAGTTGTCCAGTTTTTGTGCTCTCTCCACCACTGTAAACGGTGGCGTCGGTGGTCAACTTTCAACGGGAGGCAGCGTTCAGGACGGTGGGTGAATAGGCTCCCTTTGTGAAGGCGTCTGGCCACAGTAAACCGCGACACTTGTCGCCCCGTTGCTGTAGAGAGTTGCTGAGCAATGACGCTTGCTGACTGCCGTCGGGATCTTTTCGCCTGCAGGATGATATATCGGTCATCCCCTGCAGCTGTCGTCCTCGGACGGCCACCACCAACTTTTCTAACAGCTGTACCTGTGGTTTGGAACGCTTCCCAAGCGCGCGAAACGACACTTTTGTTGAATCCGAACTCTGCAGCTACAATGGTGACGGCACACCCCTCCTCCAGCTTTCCGATCATTCTTCCACATTTGAAGTCATCCAGGTGATTTCTTCTCACGAACTGACTCACTGGCACTTGCAGCGAATATGTTGAATTGCGTCTGCGTCCTTCATTTTATTTTACTGTTGAACAGCACGCGCCGACATCACGCGTTTTGCGTACGCTCACGTCGCTTCTGACGTTTGGTTCCTGATATTTGCATACGCATGACGTTTCTACTGACTTATGTGTTCACTCTACTGATCTCCAGACCTCCTTTTCTGCAATTTCATGGTTATCTGCTTAATTATTACATTGTTGCTTAAGTTTTGCACACCAGTGTAGTTAAGCGCACCGCAAAATTTTAGGCTAAGAAAATATTTGATTAGAGAGATAACTATTTTTTGCAACTATAAATATATCTTAAATTTTAATCGATTATTTTCATCTTCTCTTTAAATATAGTGTGTAGAAAAATAATTTTAACTTGGGAATTAAAACACCACTTAGAGCGTTTTGCATGGGCTGTATAATATTTTTGGTAATCAAATTTTATCAAAATTACCTCATTTTAATAAAAATGAGCTTTAGCGTTTATTGGGAAGCTGACCTCTTTATTGGGAAGCTGACCTCCAGATATTTTGAATATTTGATGTTAAAATTCGAAAACTTTACGATATCCAAAGGTACAGTGGCAAATATGAAGCTCTGCTTTGACTGAACGCTGAATAGTAATTATAGGCAATTATCATGATGAGATAAATTTCTACAAGCCTTTATTCCCAGAAATATGATTTAAAAAGTTTTCCCCCCGTAACCTACATAAAATCATTTACATTTCGTTTTTACTTTTTCAAAGATAAATAATACTGTATATGATGTTTTTAAAATTTAGTTTATATTGTATCATCAAAAATTTACCACACTCTGAGTTCGAGAGGATAATAAAAGCACATCACCATTTCGTGTCCAATAAAAGTCCTTCTAAACATGACTTAGATGACATTTTTAATTAGCAGAATTCCACGCTATGTTTAAATAAAGAAGGTTGATCATTTTTAAGTAATCTTATTTGAATCGATGTTTAAGCTGACTTTGAAGATTTTCGATCACACGTTTAGATAATGCCTAGAAGAGAATATTTACTAAATTAGATCAGCAATAGCTAAGGTAAAAAAATAAATCATTCTAAAATGGAGGCAAACAGATGTTTTAAATCGCTCAATTTATCCGAAATGCAGCCTTTCCCTTGAAATCGTTATGATCATGGCTCCAAATGACTATGATGGGATAAAGATGAGTATTGCTTTTCTACCGTTTCAAGAAAGAAGTTTCTATGTTTAAAAATGCAGGCCTCATTTTCTAAATTATTTTTTTTAAATATATTCTTAATTTATATGATTAAGAGAAATTTACTTTTATCTTCTTAAAAAGTCTGATATTTTAAGCAGCCAGTTATATATGCCAATTCATAAAGATAAAAAATGGAAAAAACGGAAAAAGTTACTTAAAAATCACTGAGAATATTAGCCATTATTTCTAAAAGGAAAAAAATATTAGAAACTTTCTCTTGGGAGAGAGAAATGAAAAGTAATTCTTAAAAAAAATCTGTATATGGTGTAATATTTTCAGTTTTTCTGTATAAAAGGCCTTTATTTGATTAAGAAATGAATTTTACTACTTTTGACTGAATGAATTGAATTACTTAAAATTTTTTCTTTTTTTTCTCACTATTTTAAAAATTCCTCCTTCCCTGAATTTGTTCACTAAATGCAAAGAGGGGGAGGGACGAAGTAAAGAAAAGGCATAATTTACACATATTACAAATTTTATTATTATGATAAGATATCTATTACCATGTGTATCAATTTGTTTTTAAATTCACAGGCAAATTATCTTTTTAAACAACAAATATTCTTTAAATAAGGGCTGTAAATTAGCTTTTATCTATATTTTAAAACTCTTTAAAAATAACAATTCATAAAATGCAATAATATATTCTGAATTGAATTTTAATAATGATGTCATGCATTTTATCAATTGCAAAGAGAAATTAAGATCGTGGGAAATATTAACTTTTGGACAGATAAATTGTTCATTCTGAAGCAGCACAAGGGATATTGGTGACGTAATTATGAACATTGGTCAAATGCCTGTGGTGACACTGATTTGTCAATCCCTTCAAAAGGTTTCTTCATTACGCCACTGGGAGGACGCGCATTGAGCCTCAAAACATTTAACAATCATTAGCGGGTGTTTAGTACCGATAGGAGTAGAAACTAGGGCAAAGACAATGATAGCTACGAGTTCGCTACGATGACCCCTTGACTGCTGAGAGAGGTTACTTCGCTTTTAAGAAAAACAAAAACTGGAAATGTATATGTATGCTTTATTTTTTCCAAATTTATATGCGTAGTTTTATCAGAAAAAACCTCGCGAAAATGAGGACAATAAGCTGAGTTTTTAGCAGAAGACACAAAATCAATAGATAATAAATATCATTTTTATGGATAAAAAAATTCAGAGCTTTATTAAAACACTTTCTGGTATTCTTAAACAAACAAATATTTTATTTAAGTTATCCGAGCTTCATGATAACATTCTAGCTCCTTTTTTTTTTTGGCTTATTGGTTGCGATTTTTTATCGATTAGAAAGAAAATATCTTTGAAACACGAGAATGAAAAGAATTTTTTTTATCAGAACACTTGGTATTTCACAAGAAGAAATACCAAGAAACTCCATAAAAAACAACCCCGGAGTACGAGCTTACTGTTATTTTCGTTGTAAGATATACCGACATATGGCTTCAAACAGGTTTCTCAAGAACTGCCAGGAATAAATCTGCTTCTTTCTCCTTTTAGCCTACACAAATTGATTTACATTCGTAGCATCAACTACTTGTTAATCAGCCTGCGCTGATAGAAGTTAAAATTAAATTGATCGACAAAAATGATAATAAGTAATAAAAATTATAATAAAACGATAATGAATAATAAAGTTAATGATGTATTGTAAAAATGTGATGCCTTTTAGACATTTTATTTGTGATAAAAAGCATTTGATTTAACTGAGGCAGTTTTGCATATTAAAAAAAAAACTTGCGAAGAACTATAGAATAAAAAAGGAAATAGATCTCCAACTAATTTAATATATAAATTAAAATTTCAAATACTCTGGGCATAACTATAGTATTCTTTGCAAGTTTTAATAATACCTTGAACAGGTTACTTTGCCGCCCAGCCAGTATGATGGATATGACCCTCGGCTAATAACCGAGTGGGTTCGGGTTCGAATCCCGACTAAGACATCCGACTTCTTCGGGAGAAGAAGTCGGACACTTTTTCGCCTGAAATGGATTCCCGTCTCGAATGGAAAGCAGCGTATCCCCTCTGTTATATACTGGGATCATCATGTGTAATAAATGTTTGTATTGTATGTTGCTGTTCTTCTTCCACTCGTATTTCATATTACCCCATGTGTGATGACAACAACAGATTACATTGATTCTGCTAAATACGAGATAATTGTACTACAATAAGTATATATGTATTAATATAGGAATTATTTGAATGAACTTAGTCCGGTGAAAGTAAAAGGTATTTATATAGACCATCCTTGAAAAACTATAATACTTTTCAAAGAGTGAAATATCAAAATATTTAGAGATAACCACACACTTAATTTAAATGAAAATATAACTTTTCAGTTTCCATTAGTAACAAAATAAAACGTGTTGTCGACTCACATATAAAGTATTGCATATAAGTATTAAATAAGATAAGTATTGGGGGGATATATAAGGACCAAAATAACTATTTAACACACACGTAATCATGAAGCTTATAAGGAAGCAGTTATCTGAATCTTTGCTTCGTTTTGTTTTAAATAGCTACAATTGTAAACTATTTGTAAACCTAACGGAGAATTTTGAGTTTTATGATACAAAATATAACAAACTAGGTTATTGAGTGTGACTTTTCGAAATTTCGTACAATAATTCCTAGAGTTTTTACAGAAAAACCCGTGCTTCATGCTTTGCATTTTAAACGAAATTCTCTAATCCTCCATCTCTGCATAATTAGCTTCGCTACAGCAGCGAGTAAATGAAAACCGCGAAAGCGGAGGCAGGAAAAACTCTGTTAAAATGAGAATACATCCCACGCACTCTAACGATATATTTAGCTCCTCAGGGAATATGAAGGAGATTTTAGATTCTTTCCGAAAACTTTCTGTTAACAAAACACTTTTTTTTTAGGTATCTATCATGTATTCTCATAGTTTTTCCGACTTTTTTTTACTATAATATTTGGTCTATCGCAATTTAAATATTAATTGTTATAGTTTTAAGCAATAAAATAAGTTCTCAAGAGCATAAAATAGAAACTATTTGATTGTAGTTTTATTCAATTAGTAAATATGATTTTATTAAATTGTGACTTTAATTTTGCACAGCCTTCCGGAGTGAAAAGCCGTGGTAGTTAGTGGTCAAAATAACAGACTTGTGGCTGGCGTGTCATAAGTTCGTGCCTAGTACCGCAGAAAACCGGCCATGCGCCTTAAATATGCCGCGGTTCCAACGTTCTAACGTTGGTTAGGTAGCGAAGCTAGGAGAGGGGAGTACCAGCTCACGTGTTGTCCTCATCACTTGACTCTGGCTCAAAATTACGAGGTCCGTTGCCAAAAGCCTTCGAGTAGCTGAATAGTTCTACGTTTACATTTACTCACTCCGGAATGAAAGTCTTTTTGCGTACCAATTAGACTTATCTTGTTACATCAGTGCTTCTCAAACTTTCAATATTGGCGACCAATATTCATTCATAATTTTCATCGCGTCCCCCTCCATACGATAACTATGCATTGAATTCAATAATACTATACTTTGACGCTAATGCTACTATACGACTTTAAACTCTTATGTGCCACTGGCGTGTATAAGCATCACACTCAGCCAAAGTGTTAATTGCCCTGGACGTACATATACGTATTTCCAAAGTTCGATTTTTTATGTGTACTGCTATTCATAAAACTATTCCGAAGGCTTTGGAATGCAATAAAATGACCTTGACAGTATTTGCGAAGGATTTTTGCTTCACTATTTCTTTCTCTCCTCCCCCCCTTCCTCAATGCATCATATACGCTTGCCTACATGTTAAAGGGTGGCAGTGGCGAGCGAATTGCGTTACTTTTAATCAGCAGTTAAGGGAGTATTAATAAACAGTACAAATTATAACGATAAGGGCTGATTTTTGCATATAATTTTGTATATGACAAGCCCATGGTGTCATAGGTAATTATTAAAATCTCACTTAACTTAGTTTTGTAAATTAATAATAAAATGCATCACGCAGTACTGATGCATTTATAAGTGTATTATATCATTGTAAATGAGTATTTCATTTTTTTTATTATATCAGAATGTTTCAGCTTGTTTACTTTCAGTAAATTAATAATTTTTTAAAAATAATCTTTTGTTTTCAATATGCTCGCCCCCTCCCCTTGTAGAGTTATCACGCCCCCTAGGGAGGCACCCCCCTCAGTTTTAGAAACGTTGCGTTACACACAAATTTTCTTATGAACTGTAGACTGTTTGAAAACTGAGTCCTGGATTCTTGACACAGAAAAACTGTTTGACATTTTTACGATAGAAAATCAAAATTCTTGACATCAGGGCTGGAAAAATAGCGGCCAACGGGCCATATGCGGCTCGCAAGAAGTTTTCTTGTGATCCGCCACGACAGTCAGAAAACCAAATAGACAGAAAACGCTCTCTATATTTGGATTAATATATATTTGTAAAGTAAAGTTTTTCCTGCATGAGAAAATCAACAAGAGTAAATATAAATGCAAGTTGGCTGACGTTAACTTGAAGGTTTTGATAAGAATTTCAATAAGCAATCTCAGTCTTGAATATAAAATAAATTTTTAAAAAAATGCGATAGAGTTGCCTTTGTCTTTATTGATTGATTGATTGAAAGGTTGAAGGGGATATAGAGCAACACAGGCTATGATCCCCCTTGCCTTTGTCTTATTAAGCTGATTCTCAACTTAAACGTGCTTGCAGTTATAGATATGAAAGCACAATAAATAAATCGAGTAAAACTGCCCCTATTTTATGTGGCCGCGGTAGCCGAGTGGTATAGGTATCGGATCATGGCTTGCCTGGTCACGAGTTCGATCCCAGTACCACTAAAGACCCACCGTGTAGGGCAGCGATGCACGTTAAATCTGTCGAGAGCTGAAACGTCCTCCCGTTGGTGTGGTGTGGTAGTTAGGAGAGGGGGGTGCCAGCTCAGGTGTCGTCCACGTCACTTGACCATGGTTCAAAATTACGTGGTCCGTCGCCAAAAGCCCTCGTGTAGCTGAACAGTGCGACGTTAATATTAAATCAAATCAATCAAGCCCCTATTTTATTTAACTGTTACTTATTCATTTTACAATTTATACCTTTTTTGAGATGGAAAGTTCAACAATGAATGCAATCATTTAAAAAGGGTGCTGCCATTCAGTACTCTCTGCTTCTCCAGTGCTACCCTCGAGCGAAAACAATTGCCCTCCTATGCCCCAGGAACGTCTAAAGAATTTTTGAGGTCTTGGGCCCTTATACAAAAGTAGGCCCTACCTGTGATCTTTAAAAGTAGACAGAATACGGCATGCATTGTCGTAAGCCTTGTGAGATATTTGTGGTGCACGGCAAAATTACTTTATCTATCTTCAATGAAAAACACACGCAGAAAGACCCAGTAATTTGAAACAAATAAATGCGCATGATTCACAAACTCACAAATCGACGCGACCAACTGCTACCTTTCGACTAAAGAAGTTGAATGATTGCTTATGGTATTAGGTCTAGGCTTAGACATGGACAGCGGTTGTCGCATAATAAACATTTTTGCTAGTTCACATGCAGTTTTAAATTCCTTGTTTTTCCGAGAATATGTCGGGGAATAATATTTGACCATTAAAATTATCCGGATCATGGTCGTATTGAGAATGAGTCCAGAGCGAAACAAGGCCGAAGACGAAGTTCTGGGTCGGAGCCCATGCCTTAAGGCACCCCTAACCTAACCTACACTTATTTATAATAGAAACGTTATTTGTATCATTCTAGATCTATTTGTACATCCTCTATTATTTCCCAAATGACATTCTATCATGGAGAGACGAGAATATAATTAGTCTTGACTACAGTAAAATAATCGTTAATGCATTAATTCAAGCTAAGGAGCCCACTATAAAAGAAGAATCGCTAATGTACACACACCCGGCAACAGAAAAGAAAGTGAACCAGGCAACCCCCGGCAACCGCAGACAGAGTATCTCCGCATCGCCCCACCCCCTGAATAAAGAAAGAAAGAAGAAACTTTTCTTGATCTGTTTCTGTATCTCTCCATCTGGGGGAGCATTGATCACCGGGATTCGTTCAGGGGAGAGAGCGTCCCGCGGAGGGGCATCCTGCACTGCGGCTGCGTCGCCATGGCAGCCGATCCCACAGCCCGGCGCCCCCCACTAGAAAACAATACGCTCGTCCTCCGTCGAAAGGGTGCCCCCTTTTTTTATGTTTTGTTTTTGTTTGGCTCCAAATGGCAGTGGGTGATAGCACGTGTTGAGCCTTGATCCATGTGCAGATAAAGATTGTCTAACGTTTGATAATATTCGAGCTTTTCAAGGATTACTATGCAAATATCTAAAAGTTTTTTTCCGTTTAAATAAAAAAAGAAAAGAACACAAAAGATAATAGAGCTATTTAAATGCAAATAAATGAATAAATATATACAAGAAAGAGCTGAAGTAGAAATAAGAGCGTATGAATGAAAATGAAAATAAAGCCATGATATTAAAGCGGCTGTCATAGTAATCAGCGTCTGCGTAGTTAAAAATAAATAGCTTTGATATTGTTTTTTTTAGAAGAAATTGATATAAAATCACACACACAATCAAACCTTTAGCTTTCAAATTATTTTGATGATTTGGGGTACATAAATTGTCAATTTTTTTATTACAAAATTCAAATGTTTAATACAAAATAAATTTAAATTTTATTGCAACTGCATATACACTTGAGGTGGCTACCCCACACAGTAGAAGTGGCAATGTTTGATTCTCGGGGAGCATTAGTTTGTAAAAAATAAAATTAAATAAATAAAAGTGAATAATTATTGATAATTCAATAATTCAATTTTATGTTGTATAACTGGAAACATTTTTCCGAGCACAGACTAACTTCACAATTATTACACCAGAATCTTGTTTCCTTCATTATCTTTTTCTCACTTGCATTCTGTTTTGCATAAAAACTTGTAGCAGTGT